CTTTTCAATAATTTGAAAAGGATTTACTTTTGGAGCACAGACAGATCTTGAGTCTTTATTCTACCACCCCCACACCCACCCCCAACATTTCTTGCTAAACCAACAATTACATTCAAAATTCAAAACAAGGTAAAAGCAGATACGTTTCTGTGTGATTTTTATTTTGTTTCTATGTCATTTATAAACTCGCTCTTTTGCAAATGGAGAAACTTAACATTGAAACGACGCCACTGTTTCTCCTCCACTCAGTCTCCTTCCAGTGTAATCAAAGGACCCGCTGTTGTCGTACATTGTAGAGTTTATGCTTTTTCAAACATGTCACGTAAAAATGGATCCATACGTTATAATTTACGGAGCAGCGACTGACAATATATTGGTTAATTAGTCACAGCGTTTTATGCATTGGCCTGATTTAATTAGGTGTCTACATTATACAGCTACACAGAGATTAATAATTCCCCCAGCAGAGCCATCAAACGTGGGTCTAGCATTATATGCGAGTCACTAGTAGTGTGCTAGCTGTGCAGCCAGACATAATTAGGGTCCTTTAAGTTCAGGTTTAGTGAATATACGGTACATTTATACTCCTGTGCTTCCAGCTATGTGTATATCCAATTGTTATTTTTTTGTGTGCATAAACTTAAATATATAATATTATCCTCCATAAAAATCCACAATGAATTTCATATGTATTTACTATTTATTCCAAATGATGTTTTGTGTTTGAAGAAAAACATGCAGGTAAAGTGTCGTATCTTAGAAGCAAATCTCTCCTCGGATGAGACTCACACCGGAGTGATTGTCTGTCTGCGGAAATAGACAGGAGCCAGAAGACCCACTTAAATATTTTAAATCAGCTGTGTCAGAAAATTCCAGGTATCCTGAGGTAACGGCAGTGATGGTGTGTGAGTGGAGCACTGGATGTGAACTGAGTGCAAAGGCAGCTGTCTGAACAACTGGCTTTTTCTGAAGGTAGAGCCTGAGAGAACTGAGGAGAGACGTTGGAAAACATAGCCTGTAATATTGAACTGACTTTGACCAAAATATGTTACTTTTAATAAACGCTGTCAACTTTCATATCCATCACATTACGCAGAACACACGGAACTGTTTTGTGATGCTCATGCTTACAGTCTTATTAGCCATCTGTATCTATTCTGCTGCCTCTTTAATGATATCAAACCATCAGTGCTGCAGATAAAATATTTGCCTCATTGACATTATTTAAAGGTTCACTGTTCATAATGAAAATGTCAAACTTCTTTTATATGAAGATACAAATGTGTGGAATCTGCAGTTTCCTCTTCTAATTCCAGATTTAGTCTCACTCTCTGTAAGCAGAACTCACGGTGTGGGTGGTCCTGGAGAAAATGGAGCCACGATGTACGTGTAGAACTACTTATTAGTTCTGAAAGGAATTCCATATTATAACCAAAATAGACCACAAAATGAACGAAATGGCAAACATTCAGTTTCTGCATTCAGATCACTTATTATTTCTACTGTCTCTGTGCCCTGACCTACATTCTAATTTTTATCAATATATATATACAGTATATTCTTAACATTTAAGGTAAACACTGCACACACAGAGAGCACAATCAAAACCATTACTCTGGACCTTTACCGATTGTCTTAAGGATTGCATTGTCCACAGCAGTTCTGTCACACATAAGAAGAAGTCCGGCAGCCAGTGAAGAGACGTGTCCGACCTGTCCTGACTCTGCCCTTAAGTAACGTTTCGAATAAGCTCTAAATGTTTCCTAAAAATGTGTCAGTGAGGTATCCAGACCAGCAGCTGCTCTCAGAGCTCAGGAGCGTCTGCTCCATTTCTAGAAGCTCAGGAATGCACTTTACTTTTGTCTGTCAAATTGGATTGGATTTTAAAGACAGAACTGTTTAAATGTTTGGTGTCTGTCACATACTTTCATGGGTAAAAATGACAGACAATGAAGCAGGTGAGAAGGACAGTTTAGCAAAGGACAGATGGGTTATTAGTCGTAAAGACACTGTCTGCCCCAACAATCTAAACTTATAATGATATAATCGGGAAAAAGAAGCATCAAATTACATGAAGCATTTTTATTTCACAGCATTTTTGTCTCTCTTTTGACTTTTACCATCAGCATGCCTATAACAGATGGATACGGCCACAAAGCATTACTTTAAAAAATAACACAATGCCGTGGTTATTTTGGGCCAGAATTGGGCCATTATTATGGAAATCTGAAATAACATCTGGTCTTAGGATTCCCAACGAGGCTGTGTCCGTGGCTGTGTTTTCCATGTGTGGCTATTTGGTACTTTTACGCGTCATGACATCATCCTAAAATACACACCTTTAATTTCTATTTCCCTTCACTGTTTGCACTCCCACCTCAGCTCAGTCCCTCCCACCTGTGTTCACAGTTGCGTCTGATCGATAGTTAACCTACTTTATTATAACCCCGTCATATTC